GGAAAAATATTGGCATAAATTTTAGTTTTACGCAAAAGAATTTTTTTTAAATGAGAGACTTTCTTATAAGAGATTACCATTTTCTTAACGAATTCTTCGTTACTAGGCAAATTCAGAGGTAGATCGCATCCACTGGAATGCTCTCGCTTTTATGTATACTTTATACAGTCAATAATTGCACCCTCTCTAATGAAATTAGTTTTTGTACTTCGCATCTCGCACACTGTGGTCAATCGAGTAGGCCTGAGATGTTTAATTGTCAAAATCTCGGTCAGAATCATTTTTTTAACAGATTTGAAATAATTCCTATGAAATATTATATTTCACAAGCGTCAATACTAGCAACGGAAAATATCATGTCAGCCATTTTTATGTGTGATAACAGAACCTAAATCAAGGTAAGGCTATTCCTAGCCTGTGTTGGATAGGGTAATGTTTCCGGCGCTTACTATATTTCCTCGCAAACCTATTGCAAAATCAAACATAAAAGATTCATCCGCATTCATTTTTTGTGTGGAACATAAAAAATCAAATTTCGGTCTTATTTTACATTTTTTTCATGTTTAAGAATGTCTAAATTCAGTTAAATTAGCAATTTCATATTACATTTATAAATCTTTATATAAAAATCAGATTTTTCTTAACTGAAATTTTGCCAGGAATGGGGCTTTAACATACAGCTAACAATAGTATTCTGTTAAATATGTATAGTTCACAATGTTTAGACAATTCTAAAGGCTGCCAACTCTGTGGCCTACTGTAGCTAGGCTTTGCCTATGTTGTGTGTGTAATGTTTGTGTACATATCAGTTGACCTTTGTTATGGGCATGTGCAGTTCAAATTATGTAGTGACTTCTAAAACAGTACCTATTCACATTGAGCATCTACTTTTCTGATCCTCACCACTATAAAATTATAATTTCAATACCTGATATTAGTTTTACCAAGGAGTAAATTTTAACACTTTCCATAAACTTAAAGCAGTATTATATTTGTATGTATGTAATCTACAGGGGCGTAAACTGGTTTCGGCCTCAGGGGTGCCAACATTTAGAATGCGGGTCAAAATCCCTAATTCAATGAAAACTAAATTCTTTTATCAAACTTTTATTTCAATCAAAATTTTATTTCAGTATTGTTTTGCATCAGGAAATTCCATAGGAATGATGTTCTTTCTGCTCTACCTGATATGTTATTACTGTATACTGTCAGAATACTCAGTACATTCCCAAATACTTACAGAAAAATTCTTGCATGTGATTCAGGTGGGCTTGAACCCACAACATCCAGAACTAGTCTGGTGCCATAACCAATAGACCACCGAGGTTGTGCTTAGTGACTAGTGTTGAATCCAATCCCCAAGTAGCAGTGGGTTAATGCTATTTGATGATTTATTTTAAGCAGATTAATTTTGTTTGTGATAGGGTAAGTCCACATGCCCCTACGCCATCCCATCCCGGCCTATGCCCTTGAACAGCTAACGTGTAGCAAACAAAAAAAACATGGTATTTTTTTTAAATTGTTAGTTTGCTTGTCTGTGTTTGACTAATTAATTTTATTATTATATTTCTTTGTAAATACTGTAGAATGCTTCACCTAATTAATTTAATTGATATCTGTAATTTTATGATATTCAATTTGTTGTGATATTTGTTGTATTTATGTGTGCAGTATTTGAATGTATTCTCTGTAAATCAGCATGATGTTGCCAGTTGAGATCAAATATAATTGAAATTTAATAAAGAGAAAGAATTGTTAATGTTCTTCATGAATATTTCATTTTATTCTGACCGTTGGTTACTATGCAGCGCACATCCTTCATGTTAAAGTTGTATTATTCAAATCATATGCTGATTAGCTAGATCACATGATTTTATTTTAATACAAAGATTAATGGAGGGTGATATTAGTGATACAGAGCATTAAAATTCTCAAGGGATAAGGTTCGTTTGTGCCAGCTATAAGTCACAGACTCATTACAATTTATTATAGACAGAAACATACACGAAATTGCTGTAGTCTTTTATTATTAGATGGCAACCAAGTGTCCACACAGTGGCTTGTGTTTTATTCATTCGAAGATAATTTGTTGAGGATGGCACAGCGGTAGTAAGTATAGCAATATGTCTTTGCATGGCTACTGAGTTTCACAATTACTCTCGAAGTGAGAACTTTATATGCACAGTCTGTGGTATTATGCAGCTTGGCCTATCCTACCTCTACTGTTGACAGATAAAATTTAAGTGTGGCATTTTACATTGTATTATGATATACTCTTTAGGGATATATTTGTTTTAGTTAATATACAGTAATCCTATTTATCAAGGCCCTATAGTTTGCAATTTTTGTATTTAGCCATTATGTTTGTGATAGTTTTTTTTTAATGATAACTAGCCTTGCCAGTTTGTTGAAATGTTAAAGCCACATAATAGGTTTTTGGACCTGTTTATATAGCAGATGTAACTAGAAAATATCGCTGGTAGGCATAGGCTTAGATATTTTCTAAAAATAAAAACATAAATATTTCAACAATTTTGAGTTTCAAATACCAGTAATTTGTATGTTTATTTGTATACTTTGACTTAGGAGTAGGCCAACTGATTTTGTTTTATCATATTAATGTCAAATACCCTTTTCTAAAAGAGAAAAAGCTTTGACCCTAACTGAGGCGGTGCAAATCCGTTTTAATTATGCATGCATTCGTCAATATCATAGTCTGATCAAAGAATGCAAAATAGAGGGGGCCCCCCAAGGTGAGTATCCATGATTATGAAAGGACTTACGCTTGGGACTTGGGAAGTGGGTGGGATGGAAGGGAGGGATGAGGTGTAAAAAAGGGATCTTCCCTGCCTCAAAAAGATTTCTTCGTGAATCTATATAAAAATGATGCAAAATACTTTAAATATTTATTAATAAAGTCATTCACTAAAATTACCGCCAGAAATTATTTTTTAACCCCTAAAAAACAGTAAGATTTTTGGATCCTACAATATATTTAAGAAAACGACCCCTCATGCATGACAACACAAATATAATATAAATAATGAAGGCCTTAATGTTCAGGGTTCAAAACCCTTGCTGTGCAAGTTGCTTGTGTCCTTGGGCAAGGCACTTTATCTATGTTTGTCTCCCTCCACCCAGGAGTATGTAGGTACTTGGTAGGATATAATACCAAGTGCTAATTCCAGCCACTTATGTACATTCGGTGAGGTTTGTTTACAGCCGGTGACATATAGTGGGAATTACTATGGAGAATTTACGGTGTGATCATTGTTAAAGTATTGGAAAAGTTAATGTTTAGTTGCAAAAACAACTAACCACCATTAACATGAGAAATAACTGGCAAGGAAAGGCACTACGATTGTGTAAAATAGTGTTTATTTACTTATTCTAGCATTCTCTGTGCTTTGCTTTGAAATTTATGTGATCCTTCGTAAACCTTAGCTAGCCTAGAAATCTTAGCATGTCAAATTCACAGTTTGTGGATCGAAGCTCTCATGGATACATAAACAGCTCGTTGCTATGTAAGCATCTAGGACTAGTATATCTCCAAAAATCTCAATGTTTGGGGCCAGTATCTTTTTGAGCATTAGCAAACTATTATGACAAAACTCTCAATTTCAATTTTCAATCAATTTTGTATAATTTACTAGCATTCCAACCAACTTTAAAGCCCCATTCCCGGCAAATTTCACTAAAAACTTTTTTTTTTTTTTTTTTTTTTTTTTAGAAAATATGCATTTGCATTACTCCAATTATTATAAATCATGGAAAAATATTAGCATGAATTTTAGGTTTACGCAAAAGAATAAAGAAAAAAGAGAAATACAGACTATTTCTCATAAAATATTACCATTTTCTCAACGAATTCATCGTTACTAGGCAAATTCAGAGGTTGTAGATTGCATCCACTGGAATACTCTCGCTTTTATGTATACTTTATACAGTCAATAAAGTACGCCCTCTCTAATGAGATTAGTTTTTGTACTTCGCATCTCGCAAAATGCAGTCGTTCGATTAAGGCTGAGATATGTTTGTTTAAGTGTCAAAATCTCAGTCAGAATCAGTTTTTTAACAAATTTGAAATAATTCCTATGAAATATTATATTTCACAAGTGTCATTACTAGCAACGGAAAATATCATGTCGGCCGTTTTTTTGTGTGATAACAGAACCTAAATTTAGGTAAGGCTAGGCCTAGCCTAGCAGCGTTGGATAGGCTAATGTTTTCGGCGCCTACGATATTTCTTCTCACGACCTATCGCAAAATCAAACATGAAAATTCATCCGCATTTATTTTTTGTGTGGAACAAAAATCAAATTTCAGTCTTATTTCACATTTTTTTTCATTCTTAGGAATGTCTAAATTCCGTTAAACCAGCAATTCCGTATTATATTTATAAATCTTTATAACATTATACAAAAAATTAGATTTTTCTTAACAACTGAAATTTTGCCGGGAATGGGGCTTTAACATCAAAATGTGCTTTACAGCAGAAACTCTCCAAAGAAGCGACACGTTTTCCTGTTACCGAGTGTCACTTGTACAGCCTGTTTACAATTGATACTAACAATACGTCACACCACCAACCTAGCGGAATGTGTCTATAGTGCTCCCCAGGGATGTGTTTTCCATATCAATAGGGTAATATTGTAAAGCGCATAGAGGCAGTTTATCGCAATATGCGTTATATAAATGTTAAATTATTGATATATTAATCCAGATATTAATAACGGAAACATAGCTAGGGTTTTTTAGGAATGGGTAAGGGTGCATTGACATTGTGAGCAAACTCAGGCAATTTAAAGATTTTAAGGCTTTTATAATTAATCTTGTATTCTTTAAAAAAAAATTACAATAGTACCAGTATGTATACAATAATATATAGGAGTACAGTACAGTACACATAGGGTTCCCTAGAAGCTCTGCCAAACCCTTGAATGAGAAGGATTTGGTAGATTTTAACAGTCACCATGGTCATTGTGTATTTTAACACTGCAGTCTGCATTTTAACATCCTATTTGTAGCATCTTTATTGGTGGGGCTACAGTACAGTAGGCCTCTAGTGCTACAGGGCTAAACCTTGCCACTAGGGCCAAGATCCCAGAAAAACTTTATATCTCGATGTTTTGTACTCACTGTGTATCATGTATTTAATTTAAATTATCATTCGTTGGTCATTAATAGTAAAAATGATTGTTATTCTCTTTATTCATTCATTCATCCATCCATTCATTCTTTATTCAGCCAAACATACACATTTACAATATGAAATAAGAAAAGAGAGATAAGAAAAATTTGACAAGCAACAAATTTTACAATATTACCCAAGTTGGTCAAGATTGATGATAGTGATAAACACTCCAGCTCAAAAGATAGATTAATCCAGTTAAAGGAAATTGTACAGATAAAAATATAAATATAATTGATACAAAATAAATTAACCAAATATAAAAAACAATTTAGAAATCTTCAAACTACCATAACACAAGGCAAATCTACAAAGTAAGTTACAGTGGATTAATAAACTACAAGAAAAATCATTGTAAAAAATTAAAAAGGAATTAAAATATATCTAGTGTAATAAATTTACTTTATTTATATACAAACGGTTTGAATATAGAAATCATGAATCATTTCAAAGGTGAATCAAAAACTAGTTCCTCATAACGATTGTAACTACCAGTAAGTTTACCACACTACTTGTTATATCTTACAGTCGACAATTTGAACAACCAAGAAAGTTCCAAGAACCACCGCAGCAGCGTTTTAATCAACCAGCCCCACAGGTAGAACGGCAAAGGTCAGGTGAATTGGAGCCTCAACATGAGGTCAATGGATACAGCGGAAGAGGTGTGTTACTTTATACCTTCATCTTTATCCTTTTTATAGACCATTCAGTATGCAGTGTTTTTGGTGCACACAGGCACAATATGAATACCAGAAACAATTATCAGTTTGGTTTTTAGACCATATGTCTTTGAAAACCCATGAAAGTATTAAAATATTATAGGCAGCGACTATTGATAAACCAGTTTTAAACAAGTTCCTAATTCTGATTAGTTGTAATTGTCTTATTGCAATTCATCCATAAAATAACATCCAATCACAGTTAAAAATAGTCACTGCCAAAGTTATATGGCCTGAATTTTTAAATATATTTTACTTTTTTTTTTATATACAGGGACTGGTAGACCAGATACTTCTACCTCAATTGGAGTTTCATCCGGTCCAATGACAGGTGCCCCATCCGGTCCACCAGCTCCTCCAACAGTAGCACCCCCAGCACCACCTCCAGCTCCCCCGGCACCACCAACAGGCGGTCCTCCAGTACCACCTGCTGCTCCTCCATCAGTTCCAGTTGGTGGCCCACCAGCTGCCCCCCCAGCACCACCACCACCTCCAGTTGGCGGCCCACCAGCAGCCCCACCACCACCAGGTGGTGCTCCACCACCTTCTGGTGGTGCTCCACCTCCGCCTCCTGGCCCACCACCACCACCATCTGGACCGGGAATGTCATTAATGGATCAGATTGCAAGTGCAAAACTGAAAAAGAAGGTAATCAATTGAGTTCAACTAATGATGTGTGTGTGTGTGTGTTTGTCTGTGCGCTGTTTATTTTCTCAAGCATCTTGTGCATTTCCTTAAAATAAATGTGAGTGCTATAGAAATCTTATTTATTATTATATAATTATTATTATGTGCGTGCATGTATATTATGATTATAGCCAGAAAGTCTAGTAGACTCTGTATAGAACACACATGATATTAAGGAGAAAAAATAATATATACAAATGTTTATTATAAAAATGTATATATAGTACGAGGCATGACATCCCAAAGCTGTGTATTAGCTTGTATTTTTAGAGCCATTAACCAATATCTACAAAGTTGATTTTTTATGTTTCCTCACAATTCTGAATAGACCTGATTTCTTCTTATGTATTATACTCCATGTACAATAAAATTTGCGATTAAAAAAAAAAAAAAATGATTAAAATCAGTTTCTAGCAGTGTTTGTAAAAAAGAATGTACTGATTAATAAATGTATGGATTTTCTTTTCCGGTTTTCATAATAAAAAAAAAAGGTTATAGGTTTATTGGTGTCCTGTACCATTGAAACTTGTTGAACATATGTATATATTGCTCTTTCAGGAGGTACCTGCAAATGAGCCAGCAAAGCCTGCTTTTGGAGGGGGCATGGGCAATATGATGTCCGACTTGGAAGCGAAGCTAAAACTTCGCCGTAGTAAACAGCAGGATGTAAATACAACAAAATATTGTTTAAAAATCCTATTTTCCTCATCTATTTATGAATATTTTATTATATACTTATATTTAAATCAAAAGTATGCAGTAGAACTGAACATGATAAATATAAACAAATAGGTAAATGATAGAATCGGTGCTCAATTTTAGGAACAAATGATGTAATAAATCTATAAGGCATAGCCCATCAACGAAAATGGGCTACGCCTTTTATATTTTTAACATCATTTATTCCTAAAATTAAGCACTATTTCTATAATTTACCTGTTTGATTATATATTCATATATAGGCAAATGAAATTCCAAGTTGACGTGTAACGAAACATGTACCTTTTATTTATCACAGATAACAACATGTATATATGTATTTATAAGCAAATAGATAATAATAATAACAGTGCTTGAATAGGAACACGAACATAAGGTCATTATTTATATATTTGTTTATACTGTTTTGTGTTTACGGTGCTGCACAGCTCATCTAATTTGAATATTATGTGTGTGTGTATATATA